ATTGAAGGCACTAGATGCCAGTGCTATTCTAAATGATATTTCTGGTGCGGGTATCTCCTGTAGATACATCATTTGCTCCCTAGATAAGTGAAACTGTTTGACTTTTTCAAGCTGTTGTTGTTCAGCGTGATATCAACTGAACTGTTGGTAAGGTCTAGAATTTTTTTTGTTTTTGCTGTGTTTAATTTGGAGTCCAATTTGTTCTGAGAAATTCTGCAGTCGATTGATTTTTTCTTGGGCGTCTGTGTGTTCTGAACTCAGGAGTGCTATGTCGTCGGCGAAGTCTAGGTCTTCCAGAATTGTGTCAACCCATGTAATGCCTAAATTTGCGTTATTTATGCACTTGCGCATGACCCAGTCGATTGCTATAACCAAAAAGCATCGGCGATAGGACACAGCCTTGCTTCACTCCTGTTTCCACCGGGAACCAGTCAGAATTGCCGGAATCAGTTCTTACACAGCATCGTGTTTCATTATAAAAAGATTTTATGATGTTGATATATTTGATGGGGAAACCATAGATGTTAAGCAATTTCCAGAAGTGTTGGACGATGGGATACTGTCGAAGGTTTTTGAAAGTCGACAAAGTTGATCAATAATTTCGACTGGAATTCTGTAGAATCTTCCACAATTATTCTAAGAGTAAAGATGTGGTCTATGCATGACCGCTTGGATCTAAAACCGGCTTGTTCTTCCCTTAATCTTTCATCTATGGTTTTTTCAATCTTTCTAGTAGCATACTACAAAAAATAGTTTCCCTGGTATCGAAAGCAGGGTGATGCCTCTCCAGTTGTTACAATGGGATAAATCACCTTTTTTAGGTAATTTGAAGATTACACCATCTTTCCATTGTTGTGGTGGGTATTCGTTTTGCCAGACTTCATCCATCAGCTGGAGCAAATGTTGCAGGGTGTTTTCATCCGCTGCTTTGAGCATTTCCCCTGAGATGTTGTTCTCTCCGGTAGCTTTGTTTATTCTTAATTTTTTAATAGCTGTTTTAATCTCCTCTATTAATATGTAATATATCATTCAAATTATTGCTTGTGTGCATGAACATTCAGAATTAATTTCTATTTTGAGTAAAATGTAAAACTTATTTACTGAACATTTAGGAAGGGTCTTCGAATGGTCACTGATCCTGAAATTGGATGGGCTATTCTGACTTGTAATATGGCTAACTTCTGCAATGCCAGGTCTTCCATTAGTAAGTGGTCAAAATGTTTCTGTGCTTGATGTCAGTAAAGTAATCAGCCAGGCTACTAACCCATGCAATCAATGCTCGAAAAAGTAAGATGTGTCGGCCAAAAGGTGCAAGTGTTAAAACTGTTTGCGTACAAATAAGCTAGATCTCTGAAATGGATATACACAGAAAACTGAAGTTCTCTAACAAGACCTAAAGTCAAAAGTGGATGAACGACCAGCATTTTATGCCAGAGTTTACAGCCAGTGAAAGCGAAGAAGAAGAAGAAGTAAGTTGCACATCCTTTACAGGACATTGCAGAACTAACCCCAGCAATTTTTGGCTGTTTGTGATTTAAGAAAGACTTTTATATTCAACATTTTCCATTCTCTGACTGGTCGGCTCTTGATTCCGTTGTTGAAACCAGTTCAGAAGGACTGCTGCAAGATCACATGCAACTGGGATAGAACCCAGCACCTCAGAATTAGTGAAGCAAATTCGCAACACCTGAGCCACTTATTATTATTATCTCCGCATAGCAGCCTGAGGGCAGGAAGAGATCTCAGAATGGGCCCTTCTGTTCTTCTTCTTCTTCATCTTCTTTATGTCCCCCTTTACAACTTCAGGTGTCGAGGGAGACATAAGGTCCTGCTTCGTGCTCTCCTGGCTGCTTTAACCATAGAAACACCCTGGTGCTGTAGAGTTTCTTTGATCTTGTCTTTCCATCTTGTTCTTGGTCTGCCTCTTGTTCTTGTATGGTATAGTTTCAGAAGGCGTTCTCTCCAAGTGGAAAAACCATTTGATTTTGCTGTCTTTGTATGTAATTAAGAATTGGTTCTGTATCGACTTGATCTTGTATGACCTCATTCCTGATTTGATCTCTTTTGTCACTCCTACAGTCTTTCTCGAACACGTAATTTTCATGGTTGCTACTTTTCTTTTTTGCTTTGTTTGTGAGTGACCACATCTGGCACTGGTAGCATAGGGTGGGAATAAATATGCTTTATATGAGATGTTTCTTTGTGCTGATTGAGATTGCCTTATGCTGTAGGGGGTGGGAGGGGGAAAAAAAAGGGGGGGGGCTTGCACCTCAGCTACAGAGGCCGATAAAACCAGGTGTTTGTGCTACTGGGAGTCATGGCAATTACAATCCATGGGGATGCCAATAGTGACTTACAAGATCTTCTCATTTAAGAAAAGTCTTCCACACTTAGAGCAGGGATTTTCAGGACCAATGTTATTAATGTTAAAAACTTATTCTTCTGCACGTTGTATCTTTGTGATTGCTAGATATAGCCAAACTGGACAACAGCTGCTTTACCTCTTTGAGTTCCAAGGAACCCATCATATGCTAATCAGTTACTACCCTGGCAGCCAATCGGCACGTGGCTCAGTATAACAAAGCAAACCGGCGGTTTTGAATGGTTTTTCCTGTACTTTGTATTTGATGTCACACGTAATGATCATTATGGATCTTTGAAAACGTGGTTAAAAGCATAAAATGTGGCATGTTTTTTAGCTTTACTGTCTCTGTGAAAACAATGTGACCTCCGAGCAGACTTCTTGATTCATGCCAACAAGATTTATGACTTTAGAAATTCTCATATTTAAATAAAACATGTGTTAATCAAATTCATCCTAAGCTAGATAAAGAAAGTTACAAAGTAGACTTGTTTTAGTCATTGATAGAGTCAAACTTTGATGAGGGATAGCTTAAATATATACCTCAAGCAAAGCCTACAAAGATAACGAAGTCAGCTGGTTCAAAGAGAAAAACGATTGGTGAAAAGGGCAATATTCTTCAGTGTCAGTTAGGTCTAGTGCGATTCCTTGATTGTTTGGGTTATAAAATTATGGGCACATTGAGTCTTATATAAAGTTTGATTTTTGTGAAAATACTAATTATTTTTGGAGGTAATTTTTCTTCACCAAAAAATGATGCTCTAAATTTTTCTCTTAAACAAAATCTAATGGACAGACTGTGTTTATATTTTATTTATACATTACTTAGTGGTTTGTGTTCATTTATGATTCCTTTTGGATATATTTTATCAAGTGTTCCTTGAATGCAATGGTGGTAAGTGGACACATTATTTATTGTAACTAATTTCTTTAAACATACCATCTGTTTATTTGCTAATAATTAACTACTAACAAAATTAAATTTTTTTAGCAGTATTTTAGTATTATTCCTTAACAATCCCTGGTCATTTTGATATATAATATGTGCATGTTGTGCAGCAGTTGAATTAGTATAATCTGTTTTATTATGTAACACTTCTGAAATTTCAAAATTGCATTACCACTTTCTGGACCTTTGTTGCATAACCCCCTGGGACTCAGAGAGTTAATAGGGAGAAACCAAAGTAACAATTCTAAGGAACAACCTGGCAGAAATTTATCAGGGAAGTCAAGGGGATGAGGAGGTTTACTGGTCACCTCACAACATATGTGATGACCCGATGTCTCAATTTTCTGATAGGATCGGCCATTGTCGGCCCCATGTTTGAAAAAGAAGGGAGTAGACTGAGCATGGGGCCAGCTTGCCCGCCCTGTAGAAAATTATTTACTGCAGACAATTGCAGGAAAGGAGGATATTCTGGTTATTAAAATAGGAAATAGAGGGGTTGAGGAAACATGGACATCCAAGAATGTTGAATTACGAATCAACATCTTAGCACTTGGGACACTCCCAAAAGCGCTCGGTCCCCATTTTCAGTAGCAAACACTGAGTTGTAGTTTTTATGGTACCAGTAACCGTCTTATTGTATATCCATCTCGTCTTTCCCTTAAGTATTGAGCGTTGGCCAAATCCCCTGGTAACTCCTCGGAGCGCCATTCTCCTCAGACCGTAATGATCTGCCTGTGCCTCAACACTGTCACACAAAAAAAAACCCTAAGGCAAATGTTGGTGAGAGAAACCAAATGTACTGGACTGGATTCCATCCATGATGTTGAAGTGATTACACCGGATAGAATGGATTAGAGAAATAGACTGCGAGCCCTATGGGATATGTAATGGCACAACAGGACAATCAATAAATCTTGGGGCCGCGTTAGTGCAGTTGATAAGAGGCTCGCTTTCAAATCCAGCTGCGGCTCGCTGCAGCCCACGGTCGGTGTTCGAAACCAGGCGGTTCCTGGGGTTCACCCAGCCTCTAGGAAATGGGTACAAGAGTGACACTGTGGGGTAAATGGAGGAACGTTGCTGTAGCCACAGAGTTACGTGCGAACGACGACACAGGCGGACGATTCTCATCAGCTGTCCGTACTGGTGGCAGAGCACTTATGAATTTTAACCGTGTGCAATGACGCTGGTTTACATCTCCTGACTTTACCTTTACCTTTAAATAAATTTGTTAAGAGATTAGCATTCTTCTTTGCGTTCAGCGGCTATAAACTCCAACGGAAAGTTCTGGTTGTTTGTTCACATCTGGACTCTAGTCCTGTTCCAGAACCTTATTGTTGCATGCACATGCATTTTACAAGTGTGACTCATTTATATGCAGACTGTTGTTTCCTTGCCTTTCCAGCAGATGCACTCTGATTTCATAGGAAGCTCCCAATTAGTCGACTCTTACCACATACTTGTTGGGGAGGCAGTGGGTCCATTCTTGTTTACCCTACAAAGGGGCCCCAGAACCCATATATGGGGGATTATTACTGAACTCTTTGAGTACCAAGGAACACCATACCTTGATTTATAGTTAACTTCACCGTCCTGTGGGACTGAGATAGTTAATACTCCCAGAGTGCATTCTGAAAAATGTTGGTCCTGTAATACCTTTGTGACTATCATTAACTGTCTACAGCACCCGACATGTTGTCTTATATGGCAGTTCAAAGCATGAGTCAGTCAGTGGAAGCAGACATATCTCACAGCAGTCGACAAGTGGACCTATCTCACAGCAGTCAACAGGTGGATGTTAAACCTGTTGCCAGGTGAGCTGTTGTGTTCTGCATTTACCTTGTCACACAGGTATTTCTCTATTGATGCAGATTTTCTGTAGTCATTAATTCTTTCAGTCCAAGCTAGTCTTTTTCTTCTTCTTTTTGTTCTGTTTCACATGCTCAGGTCAGATCCTCAGGTGGGCTACCTCTATGAATATGCAAGTCAGTTGCAGATCCCTGGTTATTTTATAGCTGAAACTCAATCTGGCACAATGACCACAGGGATAAAGCATCAGTGTATCATACACTGCATTTACTGTGCTGTATAGTAACATATTTAGCCAGAGTTTTTTTAGTACACAAAGACCAAAGATGAAAAGATATAATAACACACACTGTGTTAGGTTGATACACATGAACAATTTGCTATAACATACCTTTGCTTTGCTTGGGACTGAAGGAGTTCATATATTATCTTGTCACAAAGTTATTTCTTTGGTGGTGGCAAGTGTTTTCCCTAGTCTTCCTCTTCTTTTTCTCCAGCATTCCGAGCCCTTGATGTTCATTGCTGCAGATGTCACCGGCCTGCACTCATGTCTCTGATTAGATTGGCCTTCTTTTTTCCCATTGGTGACACCAAGTGTTTGCAGGTCTGTCTGGACATTATCACTGCATTGTCTTCTTGGTCAGCCCCGTGGTCTACGGCCATTCATACCCTTGTGTATACAGTTTTTACTTCTCTTTCATCTGACATTCTCTCAATATGCCTCAACCGTTTCAGTCTATTAGCTCTTATGATGACAGTGATCAATGGTGATTTCAACAGATTATAAATTTCTTTGTTGCTTCTCATTCTTCATTCCCCGCTGAGTATTTCCCGAATCATGTGTTTTTCTCACCCAATGCAGTCATGATTATTTTTCTTGTGAAGAAAGTATTTTGATAGAACAAATATTTTTCTGAAGTCACTTGGGTATTTCTGAAGTCATATTTTTCTAAAGTAAAATGGAGTATTACAGTGAGAAGACATTGTCACTTGGGTATTTGTCTATAAATCTTTATTACTCTGTAGGTATTTCTGTCTATTCAACTAGTTTAAAAAAAGAGAGTAACTTAAATTTTCTGCTTATCTTACTTTCTAAATGATAATGTAAATACATATGAACATTTCTAGTAACCTTATGTGCAATTTAGCTGATAAACTTTTAAATAATATTCCTGTCAAAATGTGTGGTTTTTTTTAAAATAAAATTTATTAATTTTCCTTTTGCATTTATTTGTATTGGCTTATTTGATCTCTGATGGGCAAAATGTTACATGGGATGTTACATGAGATTTTACATAGGATGTTGGATGTTACATGGGATGTTACATGGGATGTCACACAGATATGGGATTTTCATAAATGTTACAAGAGATGTTGGATGTTACATGGGATGTTAAATGGGATGTTACATGGGATATTACATGGGATATTACATGGGATGTTGGATGTACATTTGTTACATGATATGTTACTTTATTACCTGCAGTGGATGTTACATATGTTGGATGTTCATGAGATGTTCTATGTCTACATAGGAGATTTACAAACATGAGATGTTACAACTGTTACTGGCATTTTACATGGGATGTTACATGAGATGTTACATGGAATGTTACATGGAATGTTACATGGGATGTTGGATGTTACATGGGATGTTACATGAGATGTTACATGGCATGTTACATGAGATGTTACATGAGATGTTACATGGCATGTTACATGAGATGTTACATGGCATGTTAAAAATGTTACATGAGATTACCTTTCATGGCAAATGATGTTACATGAGTTTTACAAAAAATAATGTATGTTTATTCTCCATTGTTACATGTTATGAGATGTATTGGCTTATGGCATGTTACATGAGATGTTACATGGCATGTTACATGAGATGTTACATGGGATGTTACATAGGATGTTGGATGTTACATGGGATGTTACATGAGATGTTACATGAGATGTTGGATGTTACATGGGTCTGCTTGCCCTATTCGTGACTCTTTGAAAATAAAGTTAGTTCAATCTTTTGTTAGTTGTTGTTTTTCAAATTCATCTGAGACGGTATTTTGCTTGTTGTTGTAGATCTATTGTGGTGGTGCACAGCCAGAACACATCAGTGATAGAGGACATGAAACCTGTTGTAGGAATTATGAAACCTGAGAAGCTGTCACCACACGAGACGGCGGTGAAGACCGAAGCTGTGGAGGAGCAACTGGAGATCAGACCGTCTGACCTGACATCACAGACAAGCCAGAGAAGACTTGGACTGGGCAATAAATCTTCTGCCTTGTCTGCCCAAATGATAGTATCGCCTGCAGATTCAGCTGCCAGTAGACAACCCAGAAAAGAATCAGTCCGTAGGTTCTTCTGCAGTCTGGCAGTCTAAAAATGATGCAACCTCAGATTCATCTGCCATCAAAAAGTCTAAAGATGATCCAATCTCGAATTCAGCTGCTATTAGAAAGTGTAATGATGACTCAACCTCAGAATCCGCTGCCATCAGAAAGTTCAAAGATGCCCCAACCTCAGGTTCATCTGCCGTCAAAAATCCTAAAGAAGATTCAGGCACAAGTCCAACTTCTGACACAAAGTCAAAAGAAGATTCACCCTTAAGTACATCTGCCATCACACATCCAAAGAAAATGCAAACAGTCAGGGTAGGGGAATGTTGAATTCTCATCCTCAGGCTTCACAGAGCAGAGATGCTGGGGCTTTTGTAGCTGACAGTAAAGGAGCTAAAAACCTAAGCTCTACCCAGGAGGATAACCCTGAAGAGACAGTTAGTGTGTTTGCTCGCCAGAAGAGGAAGTTCCAGTCCTAAGCATCAGAATAATCACTGGGAAGACTCAGGTGATGAAATGGCTGAAAGCTCTAAAGGGCAGAGACTGAAGCAAAAATCAAGGAACCTATTTGATGATGCTGACGATGATACTGATGCTAGTGTAACTAAGCGGAGGAAAACAGAACAGAGTGAGAAGAATCAACACAACAGAGAATTTGATTCAGAGGCTTTTGATTTGACCTCCAAATTCAGGGATAATAACCGTTCTGATGTGGGTGATGGTGATCTTTTTGATGTGGGTGATGGTAATCTTTCTGACTGGGATGAAAGTGAAGCTGCGTCTGCTGACCGAAGCAAAGACAGTTCAAGGAAAGCAGCGTCTGCTGACTTCACTTGCAGCAAAGATGTTTCACGAGAGGCTGAACAAGAAAACACTCATAACTTAGACAGTAATGGTGGTTCAAGTAAAAATGTTTCTTATTGTGTTCCCGTATCCACGGATGGATGGTTGAACACGAAGAAGTCAAAAGGTCAATCAGGATCGTGATGCAGCTCAGAATGGACATGCTGGTGGAGATACCAAGCCAGATACTGAGGTATGTCTTGTTGTCTGCCTGTCATTGTAATTATTACCTGTATTTACCCCTTTTGTGGTGTAGGCAGGTGGGTCTTTAAGCCTGAGGATTGAGTGCCGCATGGCTAGTGTAGGCAGGTGGGTCTTTAAGCCTGAGGATTGAGTGCCGCATGGCTAGTGTAGGAGTGCCTGAGGATTGAGTGCCATGGCTAGTGTAGGCAGGTGGGTCCTTGAGCCTGAGGATTGGTGCCGCATGGCTAGTGTAGGCAGCCTGAGGATTGAGTGCCGCATGGCTAGTGTAGGCAGGTGGGTCCTTGAGCCTGAGGATTGAGTGCCGCATGGCTAGTGTAGGCAGGTGGATCCTTGAGCCTGAGGATTGAGTGCCGCATGGCTAGTGTAGGCAGGTGGGTCCTTGAGCCTGAGGATTGAGTGCCGCATGGCTAGTGTAGGCAGGTGGGTCTTTGAGCCTGAGGATTGAGTGCCGCATGGCTAGTGTAGGCAGGTGGGTCCTTGAGCCTGAGGATTGAGTGCCGCATGGCTAGTGTGTGGGTGGGTCTTTGAGACTGAGGATTGAGTGCCGCCGCTATGGCTAGGTTGAGTGCCACATGGCTATCCTTTGAGATGAGGAAGTCCATGGCTGTGTATCCTTGTATAATCCCTGTGAAGACTATGGGTATACAAAGCACTTATTTATCATAGTCCATACAATATGTATCTTTATGCACTGATACTGCTTAGTATCAGAAACCCAACCAAGTATGTAGGTCTAGGGGCCTACTCTAATATGCTGCTGGATCTCTTCTTGATGGATGTGAAGCAACTACTTGCAGTCCTGCATAATATAACAGCTGGCACACTTGGCATCGCACCAGCAAATACAATTGTGACTATCCTGATGAGTCAACATTAACGCTTGTGACAGGCCACATAAACTTTAATGTCATTCACATTAAATTACACGTCACAAGATGATGATGATTAATATAGGTACGATAATAAGTCACTATTATCTACATGGAGGACTTAACGATTACAAACTTCACTCAGTGGACTCGTGCCATTAGAAACTAAAACAGAAATCAAACTGTCTTCCGCAGACAGCGGCAAAGTACAGAACTCACAAAGAGAAACGTTACTATATTATCCTCACAAAGAGAAACGTTACTATATTATCCTCACAAAGAGAAACGTTACTATATTATCCTCACAAAGAGAAACGTTACTATATTATCCTCACAAAGAGAAACGTTACTATATTATCCTCACAAAGAGAAACGTTACTATATTATCCTCACAAAGAGAAACGTTACTATATTATCCTCACAAAGAGAAACGTTACTATATTATCCTCACAAAGAGAAACGTTACTATATTATCCTCACAAAGAGAAACGTTACTATATTATCCTCACAAGAGAAACGTTACTATATTATCCTCACAAAGAGAAACTCGGTACTATATTATCCTCACAAGAGAAACGTTACTATATTATCCTCACAAAGAGAAACGTTACTATATTATCCTCACAAAGAGAAACGTTACTATATTATCCTCACAAAGAGAAACGTTACTATATTATCCTCACAAAGAGAAACGTTACTATATTATCCTCACAAAGAGAAACGTTACTATATTATCCTCACAAAGAGAAAACGTTACTTGTATTCATCCTCACAAAGAGAAACGTTACTATATTATCCTCACAAAGAGAAACGTTACTATATTATCCTCACAAAGAGAAACGTTACTATATTATCCTCACAAAGAGAAACGTTACTATATTATCCTCACAAAGAGAAAACAGCCAACACAACATTTCTGCTAACCCGCGGAAAATCACATTGTGACAGAAATACTTGCCAGAATTGTTCCATGAAGAACACAGAGATAATTTTATCACAGTGTGGTTTCCGTAGAAACCGGTCTACCACTGATATGATATTGTCATTACAACAGTTGCGGGATAAATACTAGGAACAAAATCAACCACTGTATGTTATTTTAATTGATCTTTCCAAGGCATTTGATTTGGTAAATCCTAAAGGTCTGTTCAACATGCTGAAAAGGACTGGATGTCCACTTACCCTGCTGAGCATTCTTGAGTCATTCCACACAGGTATGTGTGCACACATAACGAGAAGGGCTCCACAGATAAAAGCTGTTTTTGTTTGAAAGCATTGTCTGACATGCTATCCTAATGTGTTACTTTTTTTTTTTTCTTTCCAATATTGTCGCTTAGTTGCTAAGAGACAGCGAAGGGAGACCACTTACAAATTTGTGTCAGATTGAGGTAGTTGACCTTATTGCAAAGCGTGACCCATCCAGGATGAAATCTGCACAGTCACGGCCCAGTGGTAAAGGACAACCGAATTTTAAGAGATTCAAAAAGGTATGTGTGAAAAGCAAGGCTTTTTTCTCTAGCGATTCGCAGTACTACAACTTTTTTATTTGTAGGCTTTATTCTTTTCTGTAATAGACGCTTTTTGGTGAGTACTGGCACTTTTTTAACCCTACCAGTCCTGAGGCCCTGAACCTAACTGCCCTCTATACCTGAGCTCCTGGGCATTAAAGCGAAAAACCAACAGGATATACAAAAATGTTAGTTACGTGCAAACAAGTGGCTAGAATAAGATGAAACTTGGAGACATTGTAGAAAATAGGTTTACCTTTTATCTAGCGCCAATATTCCACCTTTGTGTGCTAATCCACCCAGCAGGATCAACCTGTTCACAAAGTGAGCACCAGATGTTGATGTTTGAGAGACACGCCTCCTTCTTCTACTTTCGATCTATTTATAGATTTATAATTTTCAAGATTTTCCTCATCATTCCACATTTCACTGACTGTGTCACTTCAACTAGCTCTCAGTGACTATATCACTTCAACTGAGAAAGTATTCTTGTAAAATTATGACTCCACAGAGTCTGAATCAACCAAAGTATCGATCACCTGTTGGACTCTGAAAAGACTACACCTACTTCACTTTCCTATCGAAGTGCTTGGTTCATCAGCCGCTCGTTTTATCGTAAATTTTTTCATGTAGATCAACACAAATTTAATCTAAACACATGCATATGGACATCTGAGAAGACTATCCACGAGATCTGATTACGATTGGCTAGTTATTTTTATTTTGTGACTCATTGTTTTCTCTTAGTACGAAAATTCCCGACATTGAGGGACAGCGGTTTAGCGGCAGATTTAAAATTCCTGTAATAGCGGGCCAGTGGTCTGGTAGAGTTAAACACTTTATGATTAGTACCCACACCTTTCTAGAAAAAAAAGCAGTGATGAGAAGTATTACTGAATTTTAATGTAATTTTTATTAATGTTTGCTGCTCTACATAGTGGTACATTTTTGAAGCTTCCATTGCTAAGGGATGAACCAAGTCTTGAAAAATTGGTACTCAGTAATTATCTGCCTGTGATGGTTTCTGGGGCCCACTGTAGGTTAAACAAGGGATGGTCCCAGTCTTGAATAAGGCTAGCATGTGATGAAGATGTGTTGGTTGAAATTGGATGTGTTAGACAGAAAGTGCAGAAATTGCTGCCCAGCTGTAAACCACATCAAAGTGTACCAGCTGCCCTCCCTTTTTAGGGTCAAAACTAAGCAGGTAGCAGAGTTTTCTGTGACCTGTGTGGAAATGGTGTCAGGGTCGCCACTTTGGTTAACAAGGGATGGTCCCAGTCTTGAAAAATTTAATGTCTACCACTCAGTCACCACTGTCAGTGGTAGTTGCTGCTGCCCATGTAGGGTTAAACAAGGGTGAACCCATTCTCTAAAAAAAATTTTTTCTCAGTAATTATTTTTTTTATCTCTGTCCCTACTCTAGGTTTTCAAGCGGGATGTTCTCTCTCTGAAAAATTGGTACTCAGTCTCTCTTCTGTTGATCTCTGGTAGCCCTTTCTGTAGGTCTGTCTGTCTCTTTGTAAAAAATTGGGTACTGTCTCTCTCTGATGGTTTCAGGGTTTGTGATGCTTAAAAAGGGATGGTCCCAGTCATGAAAATCTTTCAGTTTTTTGCCTGTGATTTTGGGCCAGTAGGGTAAACAAGCAGTTGGTCCCCTTTCTCTATCTGTACTTCAGTACACACACATGACATGTTACCAACACACACAGTAGGTTGTACAATTGTTATGGTACCCATCACATGTGGTCCTCAGAAATTATCTGTGGTAAGATGAAAATGGGTAGATATGTATCACAGAGAAGCCATGGTTGTAACAACCCAGTAACCTTGTAATTGGAAAGGGCCATATCTGGAAGAGAATGGGGCCCAGTGAAGGAAGACAATGATGGTCCCAGTCTTGAAAGGTATGAGAGCTAAGCTGTCTGAAAAGGTTTCTGGATTAAACACACAATGTTGACAAGTATGAACCCTTCTTGAAAAAAAATTGGTGCCGTCATTGTGCTGTGATGAGTTTCTGGGGACATGGGTTAAACAAGGATGGTCCTAGTCTTGAACACTCGCCATCTTAATTATCTGCTGTGTGAGTTTCATGTCCCACTGTAGCGAAAATAAGGGATTATCCCGTCTGAAAAAATTGGACGCAAAAGGTGCCAATCAGTCAGAGATGGTTTCAAGAACCACTGAAGGTTAGGCAAAGAAAACTTGCACTTTATAAAATGAAACACAACTCATGCAATAGTTTCTGGGCCCCACTGTAGGTCATTTCAGAGCTTGAAAAATAACCAGTAATTATCTGTCTGTGCGGGAGTTAGAATAACAAATGGTCCCAGTCTTGAAAACTTGGTATGAATCAGTTGTCCTTTATGGTTCTGAAACCTGCAGTACAACTGAATGAGATGAAGCCTTGTTATAAACATTTATGAACGCTCTTTCAATGATTGTTGGAGCTATCAGAGATGCAGCCCCAGAGAATGGAGAGTTAGAGATGAAAACTGCCAATTGCTGTCTTTTTACCACTTGCAGTGTGGGCAGGCTGGTCTTCGAGCCTGAGGATTTAGGGCCACATGACTAGTGCTGTCGCCACAAACTGTGCAGGCTAGGATTTTATGTTTGCTCCTGACAGAAATAAATCCCTGAATTTACTGCGGATTTGAACCAGGGTTTTTCCATTATGAGAGCCCAGCATTCTAACTGTTCAGCCAGCTGCTCCTTGAAGCAGTAATGACATTCATAAGTTTTGAGTTGGATTATCTTCACAGCACTCTGGACACATCCATAGGTGCTCAGATTCCCCCTTCAACATATTCATCAGCGTCACACAGTTGATAGTGCCAGTTCTATGCTTCTTGACAAGACTTTGTGTGTGTCCGGTGTGCTTCTTATGTTTGGCTGTGCCGATCTTTACTCCTAATTCTCATATTCTTAGCAGTAATAATAATGACAATCATATTATGTTTAAAGTCACGGTTAATTACTGGCATCATGAGGCTTATGGACTGCAGTAGAAGGGGCATAAAATGCCAGACAACAGAGAAGCACAAATTGCACAGAAGAGTTCAATGGGAGTAGATCACAAGGCGGACCAAGAAAGTGGTTGAGAGATAATGTTCAAGCAGACCTACAAACACTCAGTCACCAACTTCAGTGAGTCTTAACAGCTCTATGTGCTGAATTAGAAGGTGGAGTTTACATATAACTTACTTTAACACATGATTGTGAATTCTGGACAGTTAAACGAGCAAAGAAATCTTTGACAAATAATAGAGAAGCAAAATAACCATGGACAGTTAACTGTTTCAGTCCCAAGATATGCAGCATACATTCATAGGTTCTTACCTAGAAGACCAGTGAACAAGAAATGCACAGATTTTTACATCTCTCCTGCCCTTTAAGCATCTGGTGCTATGTCTCCTGGGACTGAAGAGTTAAAGACAATCAGAATGACACTGGACAATTGTTAAACCAGCAAAATAACCCTGGACAGTTGGTAAACACACAGAGTAACCATGGACAGTTAAAAAAAAAAAAACACAGTAACCACAGACTATTGGCACCTTTCTGACTTTCCAGAGGATAGTATTATATTGTGCTATGAGGAGGCATGAGACTCACAGTAACCACAGACAGTTACGTAAACTGGCAAAAATTACCTGGGCAGTTCATTAGCCGTTTCACTGTGAATTTTCTGAATTTTTTCATGCTTAACCACACAAAGTCAATCCAGACACTTAGGGGTAGTCATTTGCAATGACTAACCATGAGGTTTGACACGACTGGTTGGTTATTTTTAGTTTGTGAGACATTTTTTTTAAGTAGTATGCAAAGTACCAAAAATTAGGTAGAGCAATTTAGCAGCAAATTAGGAAATTCCTGAAAAAGTGGTATACGATCTGGTAGAGTTAATAAGCAAGTAAAATAATCACTTTGTTTTTAAATGTTCTGCGTTAAATACTTCTAGACACAGAATGCAGGATCTGGCAGACTACCAACCATTATTGGAGGGAGCGATCTGGAAGTGCATCTCGGCAGCAAGCATCAGAACATTGAGGATTTGTTCTCTGCAAGCTTAGCCGTAAGTTCTCAGTCTCTAACACATCATGCTACTTTATTTGTATCATATTTCTTCCATTAGAAACATTCATTCATAGTTTTTTTTTTTTCTCCCTTTGTTCTGGGTGTTTAATCTTTATTGATTTCTCTGGCCAGTCGGCCGGAACTGCAAAAACTTATTCATGAGAATTTCTGAACAGCTGATTTAATTATTTATAAAGATACCTCTGTGCTGAGAGGCAGAAGAAAGGCTTGGTGGTTCATTGATGAACTTCAAATGGAATGAAATCAGCAAAGGTGAAGAAATAAGAGAAATATCTGGACAACTGCTTGGATCAGCAGTTTGAAGACATAACAGATGGAGATATATTGGGCACATCAAAAGGAGTAACACCAGACAGGCAGCTAAAGGAGGGATTGAGGAAATGAGAATGTTGAAAAGAAACCCTTGAAGAATGGTGAGAGAGGCCAAATCTGTTGTACTGGGTTCAGTAACCAAGGTACTGAAACAATTGCAACTGGATAGAACCAGAATGGAAGAATAGACTGGGAGCCCTGTGTGACATATATGGCACAGCAGGATGATGATTGAATCAGTTTTGATTTGACATTTTGATTGACTCAAACAGTTGTCGTATCAGCCTGTTGCAGTATTTGTTTAATTAAATCGTTTTACCTAAATTCAGATGGAAATATTTCAGGAAAGTTTCTAGTTTGACAGTATCTATCTTATTTTGTTTTGTCCTTATTTCCTCAGCAAGAAAATGAGAGGCAGGAGAAAGATCTTAGAGATGCCGATTTGTTCAAGTAGGCATAGTTTGTTTTGTTGTTTGTTTGATAACATAAATGAAATACAATCATTGGCAATAAGCTAGAGGAGGAAAATGGTTGAGAGAGAAGTAGGCATAGTTTGTTTTGTTGTTTGTGTGATAACATAAATGAAATACGATCATTGGCAATAAGCTAGAGGATGAGAATATTGACACATAGACACAAATACAAACACACAGATTTTCAGATACCAAATAGGGAGGGGAGAAAGTGGAATTGATGAGAATATTGATACATTTTCATAAATTTTGTTTTTTAGATACCAAAACAGAGCATAAAGGGAAAAAGTTTTTTTTAAAAACAAAAAGAGCAAAAGGGAGTCGATAAAAGGTGTGGGTTCCGGTGCCCCTGGGGGGGGGGGGGGCATGGGGTGGAAGAGACCCACTGCCTCCGTAACATGTATATCGTCAAAAGCAACTAATTAAAAATGTCCCTCAGAAGTCAGATTGCATCTGCCTGAGAGGCAAGGGCACACAAATAAGGCAGATTTGTAAAATGGATGTGCACACAAAATTTGTGTTTTGGAACAGAACTCCAGAGCTTTCCGCCACAGTTTTCAGCTGGTGAATGCTAAGAAGAAAAAGGTTATGGTAGCGACAGGAGAGATAAATAAAGTGGTAGGGTGAGTTACAGTGAGACCAGTTGAGGAAGACAGAGAAATAAAGTGGTAGGGTGAGTTACAGTGAGACCAGTTGGGGAAGACAGAGAGATAAAGTGGTAGGGTGAGTTACAGTGAGACCAGTTGGGGAAGACAGAGAGATAAAGTGGTAGGGTGAGTTACACTGAGACCAGTTAGGGAAGACAGAGAGATAAAGTGGTAGGGTGAGTTACAGTGAGACCAGTTGGGGAAGACAGAGATAAAGTGGTAGGGTGAGTTACACTGAGACCAGTTAGGGAAGACAGAGAGATAAAGTGGTAGGGTGAGTTACAGTGAGACCAGTTAGGGAAAGAGAGATAAAGTGGTAGGGTGAGTTACACTGAGACCAGTTAGGGAAGACAGAGAGATAAAGTGGTAGGGTGAGTTACACTGAGACCAGTTAGGGAAGACAGAGAGATAAAGTGGTAGGGTGAGTTACAGTGAGACCAGTTAGGGAAGACAGAGAGATAAAGTGGTAGGGTGAGTTATAGTGAGACCAGTTGGGGAAGACAGAGAAATGAAAAAACAGGAAGACCTGTAGAAAGGGAGAGTGAGGCAAATGGAAAAGAGCGGTCAACAGATGGAAGGGAAGAGGAAGATGTGTGGGACAGAGGAGTGAGACAGAAAGGAAGAGGACGATGGAATAGATTAGTGAAGAAATGAAAGATAATAGACATGGGATAGAAAAGGGTGATTGAAAGGCAGAGAAGACTATTTAGAATATAGGAGGAATATATATCAAATAAACGATAGAAATGGATAAAAGGAAGAAATGAGTTGTCAAAGAACAGAGACAGATGATAGAAAGTTGGGAAGGGAGAAAAACAGGTTAGAAAGGAGATGGAAAGATGAGAAACAATTTTGAGAGAAATGGGAGAACAAATGAAAATAGATATGGAGGTAAGACTGAGAGAGTTGCATCAATTTTCATAAATATGAAACCTTATAAAAATGAACACAAGCATTCCACGTAAACTGTTCAACTACAGAAAAAAAGCATGTTTCCATGTAGTAACTCTAGGTTTTCCTGGTGCTTGAAGTAAATAATAAATTCTAAAATAATATATTCTACATTAATTCTTTGAGTCCCAAGGAACTCATCATACGTTCATAGGTTCCTACCTAGAAGCCCAATAAACGCATGATGCGCCGATTTTATTACTTTCCTTACTACCCCCTAGGCCTGTGATGTTAAACCCCCTGGGACTCAAAGAGTTAAACTGTCGAACCATCGGTGACACAATTTTTTTTGGATATTTCAGCTGGGATGAGAGAACAAGGAAAACCAGCAACAAAAGAATCAGATGAAGCAGAGGGACTAGAGTGTCAGCAGCACGGAAGTCATGGGAGGTGGTCAAGATTGTGGATATACAGGGCAGGAAACTGCTGTAAATCTTTCACTGTATTGGTTAATATAAATGTATGCTTCTTGGCATAAATATTGTTTTATTTGATGAAGACTGTTGTCTTGTTTATTGTCTTTGTGAAAATTGTTTATCTGGACATCACAACAACAGCAGAACTAAGGGAAGTCTTCCATCAGTGTTAGTATTGGCACTTGTCCATGTTTCCAGGTGATTGTGTTTAAGTGTGCTAAAGGGTGGCATAGAAATCAGGGCCCATGGCGATGGCCAGTGTGACAACAAGACGGGAGCACAAAGCCTAGGAGTTTCATAGAGACCATGTGATTCACATGCATAATGATCCCTCCCTCAACCTTTCTTGTTTTTTTACTCAGGAGAAAAAGTAGCAGCAATAGGTTTGAAACAAATCATGCTGCAGAAGCTGTCGGATCAGAAGAACTGTGCTGTCTGTTCACCTGTCAAAGCTTCACTTCTAGACTAGCTGCCAAACAAGGCTAAGGGTCTGGTCTGCCCTGCCATAACACGAAGTTTTCAGGGTATGTTTCCTCCCCAACACATCCCTCCACCGGGGGCAGTGTTGTATATTATTCTTGCCACTTGTCACTAAGTTCTTGGGTCCATTCCTTCTCAGGACAAGTTAAAAACACTTCTGTCCATGTCTAATTTAATAATAATTAAAAAAAAAATTGCTTCTTATCTGTAAAATAAAGGACCCTTTTCCACGCCATCAGGCGTATGGGCATATAGGGCTAGACCCATGTTTGTGGAATTATCCACCCTCAGTGGGTGATGTGGTCAACAAGATGCTAGCCGCCTTTATTTCCTAGGACTGTACCCTTTCAAGGCTGCGTCTACCTGGGAGCCAAGGTTGTGTCAGAAAAAATCGGCTCCATACAGATTTGAACCCGGGATTTTCTCGTGTGTGAAAAGGCATATTAAGATGTAACCAGGTTGAGGTTCATCACAGGACCTGTGGACTCACAGGCATTTTGCAGAGATTGGTCACTTCTGATCGACAGGTTTGTGTTGTTATATTTTGAACACACTGACCCACAACACAGAGAGAATCTATATAAACTGAGAGGAAATGACATACTAGTGTTCAGATTTTTAAATCCAAGATCACTGGATATACCCTATCTTCTTTTTCTTCTTTATTATCACCGTCATCATCATAATTATCCTCATCTTCTTCTTTTTCTCCTTGTCCTCCTTCCTAATCATGTCATCATCACTGCTGGTGCAATCGTTCACCCTTAATTGGGTGTTTTGCACTTTATGGTTTACAGCTATTTTGTGACGTCTGCACTGTTTGATCCAACACGTACTATTTTAGCAAGTGCTTAATTAACGATCTTTTGTGACATTTTGTGGGTCTTTTATGTTCTCTCTTCTTCCCTCACAAATAAGTACCTGGATATCCACACCTGATTGAATGACCTGAGATAATATGACATGACATAGCAATCTTTTGATTGATTAAGATTCTGTCTCTCTTTTTATTAAACTTAATAATAAACATGGGATCTGTACAAACACAGTGTCTTCAATAAAAACTGACAGTGTCTTTTTAAGCAGTTTATTCATAGGTATGCCACAGATATAAGCAAAAGATTACCGAAACAGTAACAATATAATATTTTAATTGTAATTAAAAAAAAATTGTTTGCCATCTCCATGACAAAGGTTTTCTCAGTTTAATCCCTGTTGACTTTGCGATTATTATCTGGTGGAACCTCATCAGCTTTCAGGGTGTGACTCTTGTACCACAGTTCCACTGCAGATACTGAAGCTGATACATTAAATATCGTCTGCAGCTGGATTCGAACTGGCTACTATTGAAGAACAAAGTGCTGGCATGTAGTACATGGCATAAGTAAACAAAAAAAGTAAAGGGCCTTTTTCCACGCCTTTAGGCGTATAGGGCTAGACCTATATTTTATAGACCAATCAACACAAAAGGGGTGATGTGGTCAGCATCACGCCGGCCACTTTTACTTCTCAGGACTGCACCCGGTACCCACTCAATGCTGGGCCGACCTGGGAGAGTACATGACATAGTCTAATCGTAACTTCTCTTGAGGTTAAATGGGGTCTGGGTTTATCTGTTATGTTGACATCCAGTATACGGTTTATCCCTGTAGGGGTGACAGTCCACAGTGGAGCAGAATCTTCCTAAGAGAGACGGTATGACTTCAAACAGCTGCCAGAGTCGTCAGAAGAGTCCAAATTTAGAATGAGGATTTCTTGTGTGGGTTCTGGGGCCGCATTGGGGATGGGGGACAAGGCCCAAGGCCCCCTTAATAAGTGTAAAAGGTGACTAATTAGAGGTGTTTAAAGTTGGAGTGCATCTGTTTAAGGAGACAAGGAACCAACAGTCTGCATGTAAATAAGCCAGATCTCTAAAATAAAAATCTCTATGCAAAACTCAAATTTTCCAGTCATCTTAATTTTCTTTAGGGGATAAGCGTGGTGTACTGAAGGCCTAAGCCTCGTTTGAATGCCTAATAATAATATGCTGAATAGTAAATAAATATATTAACTTATATTCCAAGGAAGATAACAAAAATTAAGAGTGCATGTTAAAAAAATTCATGATAACCGTGGACTCATACATGCTAGGATCACAGTTTTGTTTCATGTTAACCAAGTGTTCTTCTTAAGCAAATTCGTTTTAATGGGGTTTTACTGTATACACTAAAATGTTATAGAAATATTCTAGAAAACCATAGGTAAAGAAGAAATACTGACACCCTAAACAAATCTTCACCTCGCGGAAGATTGGCAAATTATAACAGCGTCAGATCAAGTGGCATGGTGACTTGGAAACAATAATAGCAGAAGAAGAGGCACCAGGGCAAGGGGATGACCAGCACGAAGATGGGTAAATGATGAAAGCGGTGCTGCAGACGCTGTCGGATCAGAAGAACAGTGCTGTCTGTTTACCTGTCAGAGCTTCGCTTGTAGACTAGCTGCCAAACAAGGCTAAGGGTCTGGTCTGCCCTGCCCTGCCATAACACTAAGTTTTCAGGGTATGTTTCCTCCCCAACACATCCCTCCACCGGGGGAACAGTGTTGTCTGTCAGTCTTGCCACTTGTCACTAAGTTCTTGGGTCCATTCTTTTTCAGGACAAGTTAAAAACACTACTGTCCATGTCTAATTTAATGATGATTTGAATGAATGATGAATTGGTAGGAAAATACAACATGTGGGAGAGCTGGCAAGAGACTGTGTTTCCTTTCAGCAGCCATAATGAGAGCAACGTTCTGCAAAGGACCTGCTACATAATGATGACTGTATTTTTAATAACATATGTATAAACAACACCTTTAAAAGAACATGGATGGAAACTGGCGGGGAGGGACAGTTTACTCCCTCCCTCCTTACACATTTTTGTGAGGGGCTCAGTAATATCTGTATACATTCTGGTAAATATGCGTGTTGACATGTGGTAGATTTCGTTTTACATCACAGGAAGAAAGTTGCATATCCATTACCAGACGTTGCAGAACCACCCCAGCATTCTTTAGCTGTTGTGGTTTTCCTAGGCAAGATTACATCCAGTAGTTTGCATTTGTTTTCTGGGTGGTCGGCTTCTCGAAACCAACCTAAGGAACAAGTCCCGCAGCTGGGATTGAACTCGGTACTCTGGCATTACGAAGTGCGTTCGTAACGCCTAGGCCACAGACGCCGACTTTACATCACACACACACATACAAACTTATACAAAGCATATTCATTCGCATTCGTTACTACCGCTACCAGCCATGGTCACTCACAAATCAGAAAACAAAATTAGTAACCATGACAAATTAGAAGGGCTGTAAAAGTGACCAGAAGAGATAAAATCAAGAAAGAGAACAAAGTAAGAAAAGATTTGCTCAGAAGCAATTCTAAATTTAAATAAAAAGACTGCAAATCAAATATTTTTTTTCCACTTGGTGGGAATGTCACGGGACCCCATACCATACACTAAGAGAGGAGAAGGACGTAAAGCACAAGATGGACCAGCGATTCTCAACCTGTAAGTCGTGACCCTGTTTTAGGTCAAACAACTCTTTCATAGAAGTTGCCAAAGGCCTTCGCAAAACATGTAAAACTGAAGTTATGAAGTAGCAAAGAAAACAACTGTATGGTTGGGGACTCGCCACAACATGAGGAACTGTAGTAAAGGGTCGCCACATTAGGAAGGTTGAGAGCCACTGAGCTGGACCTAAAAAAACTATGGCCAAGAACCTGAAACAACAACATAGGAAGTGAAGAAGACGAAGAACATCAGTGGATGCCAAAATGTAGTCCGAACATAATAACAAATTCAGCTGTGAAAAATGTTTGTTGTCTGAGCAAATATAATTGAAAGCAATCACGCAATATATTTTTTCTAGCTTACAGTTTTTGTGTGTGTGCAGGTACATGGTTTATATAAAACTATAAACGTATCGAAAAAATATTATATTTATAATATTGTAAAAGTGTATAATCTGCAAGTCAGATATGTTTGAAGGTTGCAATGCGAGGAAAGAACTGATTATATTTGGAAAGTAGATGTGATTGTTGTAACCAGCTGAACACATTTCAGCATTTCTGACTGCTCTATCTTTGTGTTAAAGGATGCAGTCCCCTCATTTTGTAGTAGTCAGTAACTTGGCGGGGAATCTTATCCAGGACATATCTGGCCAGGTCTTCTATGGGACGCTGCAAAGTCAAACAAAAAACGGAATGTTACGAATTTGCGATTGATAAGGCACACGTGACGACAATGGACAAATGAGATGCATTTACATTTAAATACTTTCCCGCTTCTTCTGAGCGGGCACGGCTCTGTAAATTCCGAAGGAAAATTATGATTGCTTGTCCTATTCTGGAATTGTGTCGTTTTCCAGAACTTGAGTTTTGTGCGTTCATCCGTTTTACAGTCTGGCTTATTGAATGCAGACTGTTGGTTGTTATCTTTTCAGACAAACGCACTCAAACTTCAAAGAAAACACCCCTAATTAGTCTTCTTGTATGGATGGATGGATAGATAAAAAGAAGGGGCTGGGTATATTATTAGAAAACAAGAATAGACCCACTGCCTCCCCAAAAGCATGTCGTAAGAGTCGACTAACTGGGGAGCTTCCTTTGAAGTCGGAGTGCATCTGCCTGAGAGGCAAGGAACCAGCAGTCTGCATTCAATTGAATCAGATCTGTAAAACTGATGCACATGCAACACTCAGGTTCTGGAGCATGACTGCAGTTCAGTAGTGGACGAACAACCAGAACTTTACGCCAGAGTGTACAGCTGGTGAACACAAAGAAGAAAGAAGAAGAAGAAAAAAAAGGATGAAAAACTATCACAAATTACCGTTTTGAAATTGCGGAAAGGGACAAACTCAACAATGTCCCTCTTGGCGGTTTCCCCTGAGGGCAGAGACAAAAGGCCCCTGTCTCCACTCAGCTCTCTCATTTCGGTGAAATCAGAAGCACCGACGCCGACGATGATGATGGACATGGGCAGGCCGCTGGCATGGATGACTGCCTTCTTGGTCTCCGGCATGTCGTTGAATATCCCATCAGTCAGCAACAGTAGGATCTGGTAAGCCTGGGAAGGACGTCAGAGAGAGAAAGAATCATGATGTTTTGGAGCCGTATTTGCCCCCAGCAGGTCTTAGTTCCTGCCATGTATCCCCTAATGTAGCCTAAGACTTCCATCAGCTCACGCCGAGTAGTTCTATCCTCTACTGTTACATGAACCTCACCCCATGTTCTCAATATTTTTTCTTCAAATTTCACTTTTTTTTTAAAAACTCCTTCTCATTAGAAGGAGAGTCGGCACGAAACAAATACTGAACTGTATAGGTAGACAACGGAAAGTCGCCTTGGCGTTGGCGGCTAGACGCCAGCCTGAGGATCGAAAGGCTGTGGGTTCGCGTCCACACGGAGCCGTACTTTATTTTTCAAACACGACTTTGACTCCCAGGTCGAACCAGCCTTGAGTGGGTACCAGGTGCAGTCCTAGGAAGTAAAAGAGATATATTCCTACCCTGTCACTGCGAGCCACATTAGGAGTAGAGAAAATAAGAACTCCCTTCTCCAAAATAAAATGGTTTCTATTGTTGTACGGACTCTCGCAATTCTCACTCAATCTTTCCGACTGCAATCATGAAGGAGAACAATTAAAACAAAATAAAACTAATCAATCTAAAAACAAATGACGTACATAAAATGGAATGAATTTAAATAGATTTAAGAGAGAGAGAGAGAGCGAGAGAGAGAAAGAGCGAGAGAGAGAGAGAGAGACGGAGAGAGAGCGAGAGAGAGAGAGAGAGAGAGAGAGAAAGAGAGAGAGAGATAGAGAGAGTGTGTGTGTGAGAGAGAGAGAGAGAGAGAGAGAGAGAGAGAGAGAGAGAGAGAGATATCTGGGCAACAACTAGTATCATCGGTTAAAAGACAGCGAAGATGGCGCGATACTTGACACATTCTGGGAACAGATGAACAGACAATCACTAGACAGACTCTCGAAGAAAAACTGAGGGATATAAAAAATTAGGACGTCTAAGAGAAATTCTTAAGAGGAGCTAAAGTGCGGAACTGCATTCCATGATTGCACAGGGCAGAATGGAGGAATAGACTGCTTCCCCAATGGATCATAGGCCCTTAACTAAGTCGTTCAATCCTTAGCTATCGCCTGCAGCTCCCCCCATGTCCTCTCCATCTTTTTAACTACGCTCTCTAGCTTCTTTCTCTATGTAATATTTCTGGTCTTCCTTTATTTCTATGCCTCTGTGGATTCCAGTGCAAATACACTCTAGTTATATTGTTCCTAGGTTATCGCAACGTGGTTTCCTCTGTATGTCCTGAAAGCAAAATAGTTTCCCCGAATTTAGAAAACTTTTTCCAGCTCCAGCCCATCTAGTTTCGCATAAACCTACAATAATAATCCTATAAGGTTTCAGTTCTCTTAATACCCATAATGTTATTTCTATATCCCACAAAGTTATTTAGGTGCCTATTCCAGAGATTTTCCTTGGTGAGAAGAGGTACGTCGACGATCAGAACTCCTTTCGGCTTTCTCCACCCCATGTCATACTTCTTCTACTAGAAAAACCTCTCCTCATTTTGGCTGGCATGGTTTTCCTTTATTCTCTCTTTTTTTTTTTTACTTTTCCATAGTTGGTTGCTTTTGTGGATATTGCTTTTACAACATGAGGTAGTCGACTACAAGCTCAACCCTACCCTTAGTGGCCTCTTACGACATGCCAAGCAGGGCGCAGTGTTGCTAATCTGTGCATCTTGTGAGGGGGTTGACACACGAGTGATAACATGGCAATAGATGAAATAATGACTCTACACACGCTTTCAATAGATGTAATAAAAGAATGTTTTACTTACGTGTGCTCCGCTGGTGGGTTCCTTGTGCTGCGCTGCACTAGCCCAGTGGGCCACGTGGTTAATAACTGGGGCCACAATTGTTGGGCCAGAGAGTTCGATTCTTTGGAAACATTTGACGTATGCGTCCAGTACTCCCTCGATCCCTGTAAACAGTCAAAGCACATTTGTTTACATCAGATGCTTCACATCACATTTGTTTATAGCAGAGGCTTTACAGCACATTTGTTTATATCAGATACTTCACAGAAAATGTGTTTATATAAGATGATTCAAATTAGGGCTGTACCGAATAGTGATTTTCGCTATTCGGCCGAAAACGAATAGTGGGACTAACTATTCGGCCAAATACGAATACGAATACGAATAGTGTATCATCCTCATCAGGTGCCTTGCCGACTGGTGTTGGCGATTTTGCCTCGCCACAATCTGCAATCTCCTGCAGCATGTATCAGTTCGTGTGCTGACACACCTCCATGAAATGCAACAAGACTGTCAAGAATCTTCTCTCGTTGTCTTTTTCTATCTCTCCTTCCACAAATCTTTCCAGTGGTCACCACAAGTTCCATTTTCACTCTTCTCATAACATGGCCGAAAAATGATGACTGTCTCCTGCTGATGTCTGTGATTAGTTGTCTTCGGGCTCCCGCCTCTTTCAAAACCTAGTGGTTGCTTTTTTTTTTTAAGGCTGTCCAATGTATTTTAAGCATTGTTCTGTAAAACCACATTTCTGAGGCCTCAAAAAATTGTTTGGCCTGTTTACCGATTATCCAGGACTCATAGCCATGTGTTAAAACTGGATGTATGTAGCAAGCAAGACAAAGATATATTGCATAAGATGTTCTTTTTAAAAAAAAATATAAAGTGCAGTTTTTGCCTGTCCTATTTTGTTTTTATTTCACTAATGCATCTTTCATCTGATTTTATCCATGTGCCAAATTCGCATTTAAATCATCGTTCGCTCGGCCGTTCGTTCAATGTAATTTAAACACACCTTTATATTCTCATTAGCAATATCTTCAAATCTGATTTGGGCAAAGACACCCCGAAAGAACGAAAAAATTCATGCTTCTCTCTCTCTCTCTCTCTCTCTCTCTCTCTCTCTCTCTCTCTCTCCCTCTACCTCTCTATTTCTCTCACACCCACACACACACACACACGCACACAGATACACACGCACAAAAGCAACAAAAAAGAACGCATTGCCTTTAAATATATGTGCTTACTTGACGAGGCTAACAGTTAATTTTGTACAGACCACATTTTCCACTTCAAAATTTGAGCAAAAATGTAGTCACAACCTTACTTATCTGCCGCACCTTCACGAACACAGATGGAGAATTGTTCGCATGTCGAGATAAATACAAAGACAGTTTTTAGCAAGCTGCAGCTGGCATTTTATACAGGATGATTCACTTGGAGTGTGAAACAATAAAACAAAAAAAAAAAAAAACTTTTTTCGACATTGGCGAGAAAAGACAATTTAAATTTTAACTTCCAAGTTTCTTCCAAGTTTCTTCATGCCTTCTTTAATAATATCACAGTTTATAGCCGACTTTTGATTTTCGCCGCGGTACCCCTGGCATACGCCTCCAGTTTTAGAACCTCTGCTGAAATTCCTGGGTCGAGTCAGCAGGCACAGACCTTGGCACCTGCTGGTACCACGCAACCGGGTCGCAGTTTTCCCCGCTACGACAGATTTAGGCAACGCCACTATTGTGTTAATGTGAGAGTTATTTCAGTCCATCGCAGTAAATGCAGAAATCACTATTCGTATTCGGTCCAACCGACAGTATTCTAATCGACAGCACTAATCAGCCCGCGAAGCGAGTATTCGGTACAGCCCTAATTCACATCACATTTGTTTATATCAAATGATTCACAGCACATTTATTTATAGCAGATACTTCACAGCACATTTGTTTATATCAGATGATTCACAGCACATTTGTTTATAGCAGATCCAATATAATAAATCTTGGTGGAAATCAACAATATGTTTCGGGAAGGGTGGGTGGGTGGGGTGGGGGGGGGTGGGAGGACAAAGATAGACAGAGGGAAAGAAAGAGGGAGACACAGAAAGAGAGAGAGAGAGAGAGAGAGAGCGCGCGACAGAGAGAGAGAGGGGCAGAAGTTAAGACACACAGAGAGAGAGAGACCAAATGAAAGAGAGAGAGAGAGAGAGAGAGAGAGAGAGAGAGAGAGAGAGAGAGAGAGAGAGCGGTAAAAGAGAAAGAGAAAAAGAAGAAGATGCCTGCAGTACCTGCACAGTTAGGATTGTTTTCATTGAAGTTAAGTGGAAAGTCATGTGACACATCGCATGATGGAAGTACCTTGGCGCCAAACCCAAAAGCGGGAAACAGTTTATCCCTGAATAAAAAGAAAATTCACGAATTTAAAATTATCACAGCTGAAGAATTTACGGACGAAATATAAAGTTCAGCACATTGAGTTGAGTTGAGTCAAGAATTGACATCACAACACTCGGGGTATTCCCATGCATGCTCTGTCCTCATCTTTAGCAGTCAGCGCAGAGTTCCAATACTGACGGTACCGGTCACAATCTGGTTAAAAGTCCGTCGTGCCTTTCCTCTGAGTGCAGTGAGCGGGCCAGACCATCTGGTTACACCCAGGTGCCTCATTCTCTCCAGGCCATAATAATCTTGCTTCACTACTAATTCCGTTGCTTGTTCTCAAAGGGCCTTGACCACATCTGTATCAATTCACCACCCAGTGGTGCGGATCCAGCCAATCTGTCTGCCTGTTCATTACCCACCACGCCGGCATAGCCTGGAGAAAAGATCCAAAGTATGCTCACCACCCGTGACTTTTCCAGTAAACTTGCCACTCTGCTTAAAGCATCCCTGTCTTCACCTTTTTCAGCATGCTTTTAGAGTCTGTTACAATTACGACAAGTGTATGCATCTTATTATCTAGCCACCGGAGAGCTGCAGTTACCTCCTCAACCTCAATTCTCATGCAAGATTTGTGGTGTAGTTCAGTACAAAGACATAAATTATGACACGCATTTACAAGGTGTCAGCTTTTAACAGCTTGAAGAAAATATGTAACTCTAAATTGAACATGTTTAAAACCAAGCTACGTATTTTCAATTCTAATGTTATTTCAGTTTTAGCAAATGTAAGTAAAAGTTGGAGAATCACTAAAGATGCGGAAAGAAAGTTAAATGCATTCACAATAACTGTCTGAAATGATTAAAATAAAATGGGATGAAATCAAAAGTAGTAAAGAATTAAGAAAAATATCTGGGCAGCCAGTAGTATCAACAACTATAAGACAGAGAAGATGGTACTACATTGGACACATCATGAGAGGAAACCAGCAAATAAACAACAAACAGGCATGACAATAGGAATTAAAGGGATTCAGGAGGCGACCACCCACAATGTTAAACTAATTGCACAAGATAGAAGGGAACGGAGGAATAGACTGTGAGGCCTATGTCACATATAATGCCACGACAGGATAATGAATGAATGAAAATGAAGGTCAACACAACAAGAATGCGTTATAGAAATCTAATTTACCAAAAGCAAAACACACAACTAAGTTCAAAACATCATGGATACGTGCTGGACATTTGTAAGGTAAATATATTTTCATGCGTCCACAACACACTCATATGTTCCAAGTTTCAGCTCACCAACGACCTGTGTCAACAACACTCTTATGTTCCAAGTATCAGTTAACCAACGGCCTGTGTCAACAACACACTCCTATGTTCCAAGTATCAGCTAACCAACGGCCTGTGCCAACAACACTCTCAGATGTTCCAAGTATTAGCTTCCAAGTACCTGTGCTATGTTCCAAGTAGCAGATCTGTGTCTACCAAGTATCACTAACCAACTGTGTCAAAGACAACCTCATATGTTCCAAGTATCAGCTAACCAACGGCCTGTGTCAACAACACACTCCTATGTTCCAAGTATTAGCTAACCAACGGCCTGTGTCAACAACACACTCTTATGTTCCAAGTATTAGCTAACGAGCGATCTGTGTCACCAACACACTCATATGTTCCAAGTATCAGCTAACCAACAACCTGTGTCAACAACACACTCCTATGTTCCAAATATCAGCTAACCAACGGCCTGTGTCAACAACACTCTCATATGTTCCAAGTATCAGCTAACCAACGATCTGTGTCACCAACACACAGAAATGTTCCAAGTATCAGCTAACCAACGGCCTGTGTCAACAAGACACTCATATGTTCCAAGTATCAGCTAACCAACGGCCTGTGTCAACAAGACACTCATATGTTCCAAGTATCAGCTAACCAACGGCCTGTGTCAACAAGACACTCATATGTTCCAAGTATTAGCTAACCAACGGCCTGTGTCAACAAGACATCTTCCAAGTATCAGCTAACCAACGGCCTGTGTCAACAACACACATATGTTCCAAGTAATAACCAACAACCTGTTCCAAGTATCAGCTAACGAGCGGTCTGTGTCAACAACACACTCTTATGTTCCAAGTATCAGCTAACCAACAGCCTGTGTCAACAACACACAGTTATGTTCCAAGTATCAGCTAACCAACGACCTGTGTCAACAACACACTCATATGTTCCAAGTATCAGCTAACCAACGACCTGTGTCAACAACACACTCTTATGTTCCAAGTATCAGCTAACCAACGACCTGTGTCAACAACACACTCATATGTTCCAAGTATCAGCTAACCAACGGCCTGTGTCAACAAGACACTCATATGTTCCAAGTATCAGCTAACGAACGGCCTGTGTCAACAACACACTCATATGTTCCAAGTATCAGCTAACCAACGGCCTGTGTCAACAACACACTCATATGTTCCAAGTATCAGCTAACGAACGACCTGTGTCAACAACAATGTCAAATATAACGGTGCTGTCACTTCTAATCATCCCTTTGCCTGTATACAATTGTCAATAGTCTATCGTGCTTTCAACAGTAGTCTAAATCAGTGTGTTAATGATTGTGTGTGTGTGTGTGTGTGTGTGTGTATGATTGTGTGTGTGTGTGTGTGTGTGTGGTTTTTTTCTTTCTGGATAACTTCAATAATGATATTACGTCAGTTACAGTTTTGATGTTGTCGTTAAAAATTAAAAAAACAAAAACAGCGAAAAAAAACAACTTAGAAGTACAACACAGGGAAATTAGGATGAGGGCTCAAATTCTCGGAAAGAAGAAGACGAAGAAGAAGAAGAAGAAGAAGAAGAAGAAGAAGAAGAAGAAGAAGAAGAAGAAGAAGAAGAAGAAGAAGAAGAATAGGCGGTGAAGGAAATAAAAGAAGAAGACGAGGTCAACGAACAGAACATAGAAGAAAAAGAAGACGTCGAGAGATAACACACATGCACACATATATATGTGTATAATAAAGAAAACGTTGTACAACTGACGCATCGTAGTCCTGGATGATGCTTCCCACAGAACGAATGGCTTGCATGTATTCATTGGCAACTGACTGACTGTAGTAGTGAAGTGAGTCCCTGTTTCGAGGGTCACCGTTTGACTGTGTGAAGTCTATGGCAACCTGAGAGCGATGCAGCGCATTGTAATTTAAAGCATTTATAGAGACAAGTTCAACGTACAATGACATTTTATGTAATAGAAGTATTTCGTGCATTTGTCATACTAGTAATAACTCTTTGAAACTAAGAAATCTTTTGACGAACTTATTTAGCCTTTTGTATCACTCCAGACTGGACCACCGGTACTTTGTAACCGTCTTGTGGTACCCGAATAAGGTTAGTTAGACAGTCGAAAGATTATCCCTGCTACATATCGAACCATTCCGTCCATAAATGCTCGGATCCCCTCCTCAGTAACTCCAACAGCGTGCTGAGACTGACGACACCCGTTCTGTGATAGTTTCTGATTTTTCTTTGGCTTTCTAAAAATCGCCCTCGTCTGACCATACCCAGTTTAGCATGCTGTTCTTACAATGGTGCCGGAATATAACTGTGCTCTATTGCTATACGGTTGAACAGGATTTCCGATATTTACACCTGTGTGACTGTCTTTATTTAGAATGGTAGTCTACCCATTGCAATTCTGGAGGGGAACAAAACTAAACAACACCAGTGACGCTGTAATGTAATATAGTCGGTACATTCGTCACACTAGTAGTCTCTTCTTCTTCTTCTTCTTGACTCTGCTCCTGAAATAGCACAGGCACCAATTTTATTCCATGAGATGGACAAATGTCATCCCCACGACCCAACCCTGGTTACGCCTTATTGGCCAACCCCTCCATCCCACTTTAGACACTCAGTGTACGCTGTTTTCCTAGTTATACTGAACCCGTTTTTTGCTCCCCGTCCGCGCGTTGGTGATAAATAGGCCATTACCCGTCCTTGACATTCTCTTGAAGAAAGTTTTTCGCCAGGGACACAAAGGAGTATAATTTTTGTGTGTACATTAGAGTCCCATGTAGTCACTTCATAGTTAGAGCATATTTGTGAATGTGTACTGTATTGTTCTTTATGTGCTTATGAAGGATAATCGCCGCAACGTCCTTTGTTTATTGTGATCGATTTGGTAAAGCTAACATAAACTGTTTTTTTTTCTGACCAACTTTTTCTCTTCCCTATAATTTCCTAACCCTTTAAAAACTGAAATGCCTCTCAGCGTTAAGACAGGAAGAGATCCCTGTAACGGGCCCTTCTTTTAGCTTTGTTTATAGTACTTTTCCTTGTCTTTGATATTTCTGTGGTCCATTTCTGCTTGGTCGACGTCTGAATCTGTTACTGTTGTATGTGTACGAAAACTGCTTTCTGCGGTGTCCTTTCTGATGCCAATCTTGTTACATAGCCAAACCATTTGATCTGTTGTATACTGGTGAAGTTCAATATAGGTTCTGTGAGAACTCTCTAAGCTCATTACACCCAGCATAGTACGTATACATATAATTTCTGTCATGGCTTTATTTTATCTTTCTTTTGAATGATAGTGTCCTTGTTTGACATTGGTAGCATAGTGCGGATAAGCATGTCGTTTTCAACAGTGGTCTTGTAATGTTCATATTCACATGCTTGCATTTCAAAACTGGTGCAGTTTGGCCTAAAACGTGATTGATTTTATCGCATCTTCAATGGATTTCTGTATTAGTTCCCCCAGACTATTGTCTTTTGTTGAAACTCAAGTCTTCACGCTGACCCTTTAATATATTCTTGTGTACCGTCATCACTACAGCTACTACCTCAACTATTATCGTTGCGATAATCATGGTCATCAATATTAATATCAATACCATTCTTATTATGGTAATCACCATAATAGCTCAATCAGAGGCAGCGTGTTACAAAAGGAAGAATATTTTATGCAATCTTTCTTTGTCCATTGAGACGAGAAAGAGAATTCTTGAAAGTTATATAAATCTTATCCTGATATGCCGAGATGAATCATGGACAGTTAGTATATTATTAAACAATTATTTCGAAGCTGCGGAGATACGGTTTTATAAACGAATGATGAGAATACCCTGGACGGATAAAAAGAGTGATGAAGACGTCTTGAAACAAACTGACTCACGAAGAGAACTGATTGCCCACATCAGAAAGAGACCAATCTATTCTTTGTTCGTGTGTGATGAGAAGGTGAAAAGTGGAGTACATCGTGACAATAGAAAAGTTGGAGGGGAGGAGAGGCAGAGAAAGAACGAGAGAACAGATGCTGGACAGTGTGACATCATGGCATGGAGGATCATCTATGTCAGAGCTGATTTAAAGGAGGACACGAGACAGAAGGTTGTGGATAGACATGACTACCAACGCCACACGGCATGCATTATAAGAAGAATGATCAGCACCATCGTCATCATTTTCATTGCATCCGCAGCACCCGACATCTTCACTGAAATAGCTAGAATAATAATGATGATGATAGTGATGATGATAGCAAGAAGAACAGCAGCAACACCAATCATCATCATCGCTGTGGACAAAATTATATTTAAAAAAAAAGGCACAGAAAAAAAAATTATATAGTAAACATAAACAATTATAATATTTAAAAAAGAAACACACAACACAAATATTTATAAAATAAATTATACGAGAGGAATATTTGTTCAGGTCATAAGAGAGAAAGGGGTGGACACAAACAGAATACTGACAGACATTCATAGAGACAAACCAAAATACAGACAGACAGACAGACAGACAGATTCATGTAGGCGTTTCAAAAACATTCTGGGAAGCAAAGGCGACTGGTGAGATACTGACCCCACCATCGGGTGGTTTATAAAAAAATTTTGGGTAGGCATCATAAGCCCAGTCAGACTAAAAGGAGTAACAGTCCAGCCCTATGTGCTTTCATAGACAATGCATCTTCAAGTCTCGTATCCATATTAGATTAGGTCATCCTATGAGTCGTTTTCCGGAAACTGGGACCTCCTTTACCCATCTCTCCTGGCTTCCATGACGTTTAACATGACCTAAATATCTTAGCTGTCAGGACAGGATGCTGTTTATGAGCCAGTTCTCCTCCATGATCCGATCATGTTTAATGACTGTGTTTCTCTTTTTTTCTTTTCAGACTAAAGAGCAATGATGTGGTAATATAATATCATCATCATCATCAACAGGTAGCAGGTCCTTCTCATCACCGTCTGCCTGACAGAAACTCGGTCTCTCGCCAGCTCTCTCCTCATGTACTTTCATATTCAAGAGTCACTTATATCCTATGCCTACCTTTGTGTTGGTCGGCCTTTTCCCTTCTTCCTGGTACCATGCCTTCTGCTATTATTTTTTTCTCTAAAACGCCTTGATATAACCAAAATATTTCAGCTTGCGAGACATGATTCTGTTTATTAGCCAATCTTCTTTGATGTTTACATCTTTTAAAATGTCAGTATTTTAATATAAAGTATAAGGTACATTTGTCACACAAGTAATTTCTCGTTCAAGCTGAAATCTTTCAGCTGCTATTTCGTCAGTGGCTAGTTGTTATCAGTGGTTGTAAATACTCACGGTAAAGTTGATTTTAAGGCCTTCAAAAACGAAATCCAGAAATGTTCGTTCCCTTTTCGATTTCTGTGCCTGGAAATATTAATAAGAGCAGTGTTGATTCTTAATAATAATAATAATACATAACAGTTTTTAATAAAATATGACTGCCTGTTACGTATCTGCCTACCAGATCTTTCACGTGTGCGTCAGTGCAATTGTCCATTCATCCATCCATTCGTCAAACCATCCATCCATGCAACCATCCATCCATGCAACTATCCATCTATCCATCCATCCATTCATTCATTCATCCATCCACCCATCCATCTATTCATCCATCCATCAATGCAACCATCCATCCATCCATCCATCCATCCATCCATCCATTCACCCATCCACTGTTTACATGTACTATACATAGTAATGTAGTTCCTTAAGACCCAACATTTATTAGTATATCAAGTACCAATAGTGTATATATCACAGGTTATAGAAAGAGCTTTGTGTGACTCAAAAAGGGGGTAAACTTTGAGACACACATACACACACATACACGCGCACACACAGCGCACAGACACACAATTCTGACGATCAGTTTCATAGCATATTTTATCCCCGTGTTGGTTCCGGAGTCCCATTGCGGGGAAAGCAAGAATAGACCCACCGCCTCCCCGACAAGAATGTCGTAGGAGTCGACTAATAGTCGCAGTGCATCTGCCCAAAGCGACAAGAAACAACCAGCTGCACACAAATAGCCCAGTAAAACGGATGTACACGAAAAAGTTAGACACAAAGCCAAGTCCAAAACAATTACAGTTTCACATCACGGATAGCTTTTACAGCCGGTGCGCAAAGAGAAAAGTATTTCATTTCACATAACAGATAAACACTACAGTCACAAGTCATACATACACTGCTCCAGAGTTCTTGTAGTCCTTCTTCTTCGTCAAGGCAGGGTTTATGCAAGCAAACCCGGACTGGCAAACCAGAATCAAAGAGTATTACACATTAGTAATGTTGAAGTCAAGGGAAAACTATTACAGTATCAAGTCATAGAAAACTATTACAGTATCAAGTCATAGAAAACTATTACAGTATCAAGTCAAAGAAAACTATTACAGTATCACTTTATAGAAAACTTTTACATTGTCACGTCATAGAAAACTATTTCAGTTTCACATCACAGATAACTTTTACAGTATCACGTCATAGAAAACTTTTACATATCACGTCATAGAAAACTATTACAGTATTACTTCGTAAAAAACTTTTACAGTATCACGTCATAGAAAACATTTTCCATATCACGTCATGAAAGCTATTACAGTATCACGTCATAGAAAACTATTACAGTATCCTACCAGGAACAAACTGATAAGCAGGTTATAATTATGGAAGTGAAAAGTGACATTTTTATGAAACTTCCCCGCCTGTAGTAATATTAATAGTAGTAGAAGTGATATTATTTATGGTAGTAGTAGAGATAGTATTAATAGTAGAAGCTATAGTAGTGGTGGTGATGGAGAAGATGGTGTTATTGGTGGCGTAGTAGCAGCAGTAGTAAAAACAGTAAAGTAGCGCAACTGGCTGTGATGGGGCTGGTGGTAATATTAGTAGTATAAGTAGTGGTAGCAGCAGTTGTTGTTATTGTTGTTGTTATGGTGGTGGTTGTGGCAGTGGTATTGGTAGCAGCAACAAAAGAGTAGCAGTAGTGACGGTGCTGGTGGTGCTGGTAGTTGAAGTGGAGTATTACTTAGTAGTTGTAGTAGCAGCAGTAGTAGCCACAGTAGTAGCAGAAGCAGCAGCAGTAGCAGCGGTATTAGTGTTAGTAGTAGCAGTAGTAGCAGCAGCAGCTGTATTAGTTTTAGCAAGTAATAACAGTGCCAGCAGTAGTAGCAGCAGTATTAGTTTTAGTAATGGCAGTTGCAGCAGTAGCAGCAGCAGCAGCAGCGGTATTAATAGTAGCAGTAGCAGCAACAGTGCAGTAGTAGTAGCAGGAGCAGCAGCAGTTTTATTATTAGTAATATCAGTAGCAGCAGTAGCAGCAGCAGTAGTAGCAGCAGCGGCAGCGGTATTAGTATTAGTGGTAGCAGTAGCAGCAGTAGCAGGAGCAGCAGCTGGTTTAGTATTAGTAGTAGCAGCAGCAGCAGGAGCAACAGCAAGAGTAGCAACCAGCAGTAGTAGCATGTATAATTGTGAACTTTTACCTTTGCACTTGAAGGTTTCATCAACTCTGTCAAGGTTGTTGTGAATCCGCCAATGAAGTCATGTTTGCCATTGTCGTCATGGTCATAGCAGTCAATCTGTGGGGGGAAAAGGGGGGGGGGGGGGGTCAAAGATACACGTGCATACGTACTGATTTCCCTATTTGAAGAGTCAGTGAGATGGCGTCAGATACACGTGCATATGTACTGATTTCCCTAGGTGAAGGGTGTGTGAGATGGCGTCAGATAAATGTTCATATGTACTGATTTCCCCATGTGGAAAGTCAGTGAGATGGCGTCCGATAAATGTTCATATGTACTGATTTCCCCATGTGGAAAGTCAGTGAGATGGCGTCCGATAAATGTTCATATGTACTGATTTCCCCATGTGGAGGGTCAGTGAGATGGCGTCAGAAACTCGTGCATATGTATTGATTTCCCCTGTGGGTTCTGGGACCCTATTGTGGAACAGGACAGAATAGTCACAATGTCCCCCCGCCCCACCCCCCACCCCAACCAGTGTGTCGTAAAAAGCTACTAATTAGGGGCTTTTTCCTTCGAAGTCGGAGTGCATCTGCATGAGGGAAAGGAAAACAAATCTACCTACAAATAAGCCCAATCTGTAAAACGGATGTGCATGCAAAGCTCAAGCTTTGGAACACGACTAAAGTCAGTAAGTGGTCGAAAAACTGTAACTTTCCGAAATAATTTCGAACAAACATACATACATACATACATAAAAACATACATACATACATACATACATACATACATACATACATACATACATACATACATACATACATACATACATACATACATACATACATACATACATACATACATACATACATACATACATACATACATACATACATACATACATACATACATACATACATACATACATACATACATACATACATACATACATACATACATACATACATACATACATACATACATACATACATACATACATACATACATACATACATACATACATACATACATACATACATACATACATACATACATACATACATACATACATACATACATACATACATACATACATACATACATACATACATACATACATACATACATACATACATACATACATACATACATACATACATACATACATACATCCACATACATACATACATACATACATACATACATACATACATACATACATACATACATACATACATACATACATACATACACTACATACATACATACATACATACATACATACATACATACATACATACATACATACATACATACATACATACATACATACATACATACATACATGCATACATGCATGCATACATGCATACATGCATACATGCATACATGCATACATGCACATACATACATACATACATACATACATACATACATACATACATACATACATACATACATACATACTACATACATACATACGTACGTACATACATACATACATACATACATACATACATACATACATACATACATACATACATACATACATACATACATACATACATACATACATACATACATACATACATACATACATACATACATACATACATACATACATACATACATACATACATACATACATACATACATACATACATACATACATACATACTTGCATACATACCTAAATGCACACACACACAAACACATACTTACACGGCTACATATGCATACATACATCCACCAAAATACATACATACACACATAGATACATACATGCATGCATGCATGCACACCTATATATAGTACACACACATGCATGCATACACATATAGACAATACACATATACAATCACTCAATTTCAGGAAAAGGATATACTTATTTATAGGCCCCTTTTAGACAGCAAGATGGAATAGAATCAAGAGTACGACAGACAATAACAATAATGTAGGAGGAACTGTTCGCGATAAGCGGCCCACTATATAGTCACTTCCTTTGTCATTCATGCTCCCTCAGGTCACTGGACCTCGCCTTTGTTGCAGGGGTGTTATGATATGACTTGTTTTGGCTTTCGCTCGGCGTATGTTGTATTTGTTGGAGGTTGTGTAGTTGTGAGTCTATTTCAGGCGCCACAGGCGCTTATGTACAGGTAAGAAGTACTGCAAGGGGAAGTGCCGCAGGCTCGACGATTCTTGGCTATCGAAACTGGGATGGTTTTGTATATCTACGTTCTTTGGTAGTGGCTTCCGCCCAAGAGAAAGAAAGCAGTTACAGGGAGCGTGGGAATAGTAAATTATTGCTGTTTCCATACTCTTAAACACGCAAGCGAGCGGTGAGAACACGAGAATAGAGGTAACGGTTAAAGCGTTCATATGACTCCGCTGCAGCATAGGAGAGGTCCTGCGAGCTAAGGAGACATGAATGGCAAGGGAAGTTACTCTAATCCTGGACCGCTTATCGCGAACAGTACCAAAATGTATATTATAAGATGTTATATATACTTAAATGTATATTCATACATACACACTTGCATGCTACTGTGCTGGCAAACACACACACACAAACACACTTACACGCTACTGTACAGATACACACAGAAAACACACGCTACTGTGCAGGCACAGTCACACAGACTTACACGCTACAGTGCAGGCACACACAGACACACACACACTTACACGCTAATGTACAGGTACACATACACACCCTCCTACACGCAGCTGTGCAGACACTCACACTCATACGCTAGTTTGCTGGCGTGCACACACACACACACTTGCTCGCTACTTTGCAGGCACACAAAGTATACACACCCAGACACACTTACACACATGAACAAATACACCTACACACACACACACACACACACGTACACGCATTACCTTGATATGTTTACTTCTGTCCCCATCACACAGGTTCTGCAGTGAGAGCGTGATCGGTTTCCACTTTGGATTCCGGCTATCTTTGATTACCTGAATATATATATTTCAAATGTCTATATCCGCTGTATTTTTATGCGACATTTCTAGTATTCGTTTTGCGAAGTAGACCGGCTACTCAAGTTCTGCATTGGTTTATTCTTTGTCCTTGTCTTCAAAATAGTGCTTTTGTTTGTCGACGCCTTTTTCAACTTGCTGATTTAGCAGTCTGACCATAGTTGTGGATGTACAGTCCTCATTTGGTTTTCGTAAATGTCTTCCTTCTCTTATAGCAGTGTCTCCTCAAACCTTTCTTAGTCCCGGCGCCTTTGTTTAATTAAAATATTTCCACGGCGCCCTAACCTAAGAAAAAGTATGACTACTTGAATATAAGAGATACAAGAAAAAATAAAACTCGTGGATCTTCGAATATTTCGCGGGCGCCCCTGTGAAGAGGTCGCGGCCCCCTGGGGCGCCGCGGCTCACAGTTTGGGAAACACTGTCTTAGAGCATTCAATATGCTAGTTTCCAGGGCTCGTTTGCTCTTCACCGTAGCTTTTTACCTATAAGCTTATTAGCTGGCCTTATTTCCTTGTATACTCGCAAGCCTTGGCACTGAAGCTGAATCAGTGTGAACCGTGACCGCCGTAGCCACACCAACCGCTGTCTTCGAACCCAAACCCCTCTCTGTCTACCTGGGCATACTCCTTGAGTCACTGCCCGTGGTGAAGATCTGTTGTTTCCGGTAATATCAGGGCTTTGGTTAACAAACACACACACACACCACACACACACACATATGTATGTATATATATATATATATATATATATATATATTATATATATATATATATATATATATATATATATATATACACACGGAGAGGGAGAGAAAGCGAAGAAACAAAAAGAGAAACGAACGAACGAACTTTATTTTCAAAGGGTTACAAATGAGGCACACAGCAGTTTATTTATCAAAAAACAGCGTTTTATCTTCAGTTAACAATATTCATTAGATGAATATCAAGGGGGAGGGGAGAGAGAGCGAGAGAGAGAGAGAGAGAGAGAGAGAGAGAGAGAGAGAGAGAGAGAGAGAGAGAGAGAGAGAGAGAGAGAAAGAGAGAGAGAGAGAGAAAGAGAGAGAAACGTACTCCCTACCTCTGTGCGATGGATCAACTGCCAGTTGGAGCCTGGAACTTGTTTGTAAATCTCCAGAAATGGATCCGACTGGGATAGAACATCCTGGAAAAAAATTTTTTTTTTCAACTACTTGAGTAGCATAGAAGTTCAGGTAATAATGACACAAGTAGGCCATGTCATTTAGTTTTGTTGGAATATACAGTTCTAAACCTTAATTATGTAAGTTCCTGGTTTGGGGTTCTGGTCCCAGTTGTGGGGGAAGAAGAAAGACCAAGACCACCTCACCCCTCACCCCCCACCCCATCACCTATGTTGTAAATGGCGATTACTTATGGCGTTTCCTTCGAAGTTGGAGTGCATGAGACGCAAGGGAAACAAGAGCACACAAATATGCAAGATCTGTAAAAACAGATCTGCACTCAAAAGTCAAGTTCTGGAACGAGGTTAAAGTCAGAAGTAGTCGACAAACCAGAACACTCCGCCCGACATTTTTAACTTACCATCCTAATGAGCTGATATGGTTGGAATGGTCACCATCCAGTCGGCACTATAGTCCGTTTAGGAATTCATGAACACGTTTTCAACCTATTTTTTTCAACCACTGCCTATTAGATAGGAGTGAGTTTTGTGCACACAGACTTTAAATATCCTTGTTGCACTCTTGAGTCAATAGATGCTCAGGATTTTGATAATCAGCCAATTCTTTTTATATTTTCAATTCATCGTAAATAAGTAGAATGCAATTTTAGATTTTAAATTAAACATGTTAATTTCAAGTTCAAGTAAAAAAAAAAAAAAAAAAAAAAAAAAATTTTTTTTTTTTTTTTTGCGCATCTTTATAATAATTGATGCTCTATCTAGGCCAAGCGTTAGCTTTGTTAATTTCTTGGTGTCACAAATATTACAATATAAATGACCCATCTTAGATTCCCAACAGAAGTGCTGTACGGTAAAACGGTAAACCGCCGCATAGTTAAAAATTTACGCTTCAATGGCATTAAGAAAGTGATGTCTGTTTTGTCAGTTTTGATAAGCCAAAAATATGACACAAT